AGAATGTAGTGAACTACTTTGGTTCTTTTAATCAGTCTTGGCTTGAAATCCACTTTGTCTGCAAATAAAATGCTATCCCTGCTTTTACCCAGGTTCTTTTTGCATGGAGTATTGTTTTCCATCCTTTGACTTTTAGTGTATGAATTTCTTTTTGAATTAAATGTGTTTCTTGTATTCATCACATTGTTGGATTTTGTTTCTTGATGCATTCTGCCAGTTTATTTCTTTTGATTGATGAATTGAGACTATTAACATTGATTTTTTATCTTCAAAGTAGTTGTTCAGATTATATTATAGGCATGTAAATTGATCAAACAATACAAACACTAACTGTTCCTCTCAATGATTTAATATTATTGGTAAATGGATGCAACTCAAAGCCATACTCATAACTGAAATAAATCAGACTTGTGTAAACATTGTATTGTCTCCCTAGTGTAAGAAACTGAAAGAGTAAATAAGATCAAAAAGGTACAATAGATATTGTGAAAGGGAAAGAAACTGCTAAAAAGGAAAGAATTGGTTGATAAATATTATATAAAAATGATAGCTAAGATAATTGCACAACACTGGTGGTTTTAATTGATATGTATACTAGTTTTTATAATGATATTTTCCTGTTGTTGGCTCCCTTTTTTCTCCTCTGTTTAATCACTTACCATGCCTGGTGGATTCATTTTGGTTGAGGGGGGGCGTTCTTGGAGTTGTAATCTTTGTTATCTCTTTCTAGAATGTCCTTCAAGACATTTTAGAATGCTGGTTTGGTGTTCATGAATATCCTCAGGTATTTTTTGTTGTGAAAGCATCTTATTTCTCCATCAATTTTGGAGAATAGTTTGGCAGGGTACATTAATCTAGGTTGGGGGTTATTTTCTTTTAGAGCTTGAAATACTTCACTCCAAGCTCTCCCTGATTTGAGGGTTTGTGTTGAGAAGTCTGCTGTGATTCTGATGTGCTTCCCTTTACAGGTGATTTGTTTCTTTTCTCTAACAGTTTGTAATATTCTGCTATTTTGTATCTTAACTACTATATGCCCTGGTGTAGATTTTTTTCCCTCATGGCTAATTAGATTTCTATATGCCTCACTTGTCTGTGTGTCAAATTCCTTTCCCTCACCGGGACTGCCATGGCTCTTGTGAACAGGGTTTTCTTTTTTATATCATTTGTGCTATCTTCTGCTTTTTCAATGATTCTGATAAATCTTACATTATTCTTCTTTGCAGCTATTAGATTTCTTTTGTATGTTGGGCATTCATAGTTTCCACCATTATCCTAAACTCCTTTTTTATCTGTATCCGCTCTAAAGTCACTAACCAAGTCTTTTAGTATGGTCACCATTTCTGTAATTATCTGAGAAATTATTTCTGATATGATTTTTTTCTACAGCCTCATTTATCTGCTCTGTTACTTCCTCTGTTACCACTTTGGCTTCTTGCTTGCTGCAACTGGGCTCCCTGACCTCTTGTCAGCTTGAACTTAGCTCCCTGACCCCAACACTGGTAGTCACTAGATGGAGACAGCAGTTTTTCTCTGAGTTCCAAGCTCAGTTACTCCTCTCCAAGATGACTCCTGGCCAATTACTCTATCCCAGGGGCCATCTGAACTTGAATAGCTCACCAGCAATTGCAGTCTGGTGCATCTGCTGCTCCATTCCACTGGTGTGTTTCTCCATGGAGGCCTCTACTGTCACCAACAGTCACCATACATCTGTAGATTTGAGCCATTCCTCCCACATAATAAGTCTGAGCTCAGGGAGAAAACACCATCTGCCACCTCCTTTTCTTCATTGAATTTTTTCTCTTTGCTCTCCACATGGGTTTCAGTTCTCACTTCAGATCCTTCCTGGGTCCCAGGGACTCACCTTTCTTCTTCTCATGTGCTGTATTTCAGTGTCTTAACACTAAATCTCAGAGAGGCTCTTTCTCTACTCTTCACCATTCTACTATCTTCCCAAAAGTCCCCAGATTTCAGTTTTACTTAGCAACATAGTCAAATCAACCTTACTGTCATAAGGGGTCCTCTTTTTCAAACAATTAAATTTCAAAAAAAAAAATTACAGAACCCACCATAACAAATACCTATGTGTGACCACCCAGGCTTAATCAGTATCAACATTTTTGATGATGGTTTCTGGTCTGCAATTCTCAGTTTAAAGATAACTTTACTTCTGTGTGTGGGCACAGTTGGCCTCAGGGAAACCATGGTGATGGCAGTGTTCCTTTTCTGTTATCCCTTCCCTTTCACCTCAGATGATTGACCACAGGTTGGTGGCCCTGCTCCTACAGAGTGCCAAGCATAGCTCTCCCTGGCCTGGCAGTTTGCTATACTTGGATCATGAATTGCCTCTAAAGGCCCATGGGTTGAAGGCTTGATCTGTAGCCCATGGTAGTACTGCGACATAATAGCACCTTGAGGAGGTGGAGCCTGGTGGGAGGAAGTGAGATCACTGGGGGTGTGGTCTTGGGCTCTTCCTTTCTCTTTTTGCTTCCTGGGTGCCATGATGGGAGCAGCTCCATCTATCACTTGTTCCTACTGTGATGTTCTTTCTTGCCACTGCCTGAAGCAATGGCTTAAGTGACTGTGGACTGAAACCCCCAAACCATGAGCCAAAATAAACCTTTCCTCCTGTAAGTTGTTTAACACAGTAGTGGAAAGCTGACTAAGATAGATTTTATGTGAAGCTGTACTTGGAGCCCTAGTGTCAATTCTATTCAAAATGTGTCTTGGTCATAAGTATCATGAAAAGTTGCAAGCCAAGAAAGGAGGTTTATGAAAACAAAAGCAGCTTATTATAATTTTGCAGCGGCCTCTCCAATCATCTTAGATAGTATATGCATCCAGGAAATGAACAGCTATTGGAATGCCAGCTTGCTAGCACTTCTCTTTTTCACTCAAACCAAGTGATGATGTTGTGGGAAATGACCACCCCATGTCTTGAGGGCTTACATGTAACATGTTCAGATATATAAGGAGGCTAACTTGTGGTCTCTCTATGAAGCTCCTTCAGGTCAGGGGAGAGTCTGATGTTGAGGCTTGAATCATATGTCTACCTGTGGTCCAGTAGCTGTTGGGAGGGTGATCATGTCATGTAAGAGCACTATGGCTGCCAGGGTATTACTTCTGCCATCTTGTGGATTTGGGACAAAAGGACAACAGTCTCAGAAAGACCCTACCTCTTCTCCTGCACATAGCTGCATATTCTTCAGGGGATGGTGATCACTCTGAAAAATACATGGTTAGAGTATCAGGAGAAACTAATAACAACTTTCCAGCCTAGGCTCTAAGGAGTGGGGAAGGCATGGGATGGAGACACTAATGATGTGGAAAACAGTAAATATACCTCTGTACTCTGGGGTTGCATAGTATAGCTGCTTTGAGGGTGGCCCACATGTCAAGAGTGTCTCAGAATGGGACCTGCTGTGGGAATCCACCACAGATTCCCACATTTAGAGATGTACTGTGCTCTAAAGTTGTTATGAATGTTTCTGCATTCCTACAATGAAGGTTTAGGCTCAAATGTGTCAGGGACTTCACTGGCTGTGAGGAAACAGTGACTACCTCACCCCAAGTTCCTGCAAAGTGTTCATGGAGTTTGCTGTGGAGTCTGCATGCATGTTGCAAGAGATTAACCCCATTTCTGAGCAGTAGCACATAAAATTCACATTTGCATTTCTTTCTATAGTGACTCCCATCTTTAACGGTTATTATTATTATTATTATTATTATTACCATGCCCTTGTAGATTACTTCTCATCTTTTCTGGACTAAGCAATATATATCTGAGCATATAAAATGAGGTGATATTCATATCTCCATACTAGCTCATGGAAACCCAAACAATGTTAGTCATGGTATTTTTTACCACCTAGATTGTTATTATTTATAACGTTTTTTCTCTGAAAAAAGTAAGTTTTAAACTCTGACTTGGAACAACAAGCACATGTCCTCCAGGGATGCTCCTCTAATGGAATGAGTCACAAAGCACAGGTCCTTTGCTGTCACTTTTTGGTTTGTTTCTTGTTCTGGGGGATGGACAGTGTCCTTGCCTGCTGGGCAGGGGCTCTCCCACTGAACCATGCCCCGTCTCCACTGTGGCCCATCTTCATGAGAAAAGCTCCTTTCTAACTGCTTCCCTCTCACACCTTGTTGGGAATTTTATTTTTTGAGATGAGGCTATCACACCCACTCTGCTCAGCTACCACAGTGGCTTGAGTTTTGGATTGGCAGTGAAATGTGTGCCAATAGGGTGGGATCCAGAAGCTTCAGTCTCTCTCTCTCTCTCTCTCTCTTTCTCTCCCTCTCTCTCTCTCTCTCCCTCTCTCCCTCTCTCCCTCTCTCCCTTCCCTCTCTTCCCCCAGCAGTTTAGGAGAACAGGCTGAAAGTTTGTAGGCAAAGTCATCTTAAGGAAGCCAGTGGCGCTAGGGGCTTCTCAGACTTGGTGCTTGGTGTCTCAGCCTCCTTGGGAACATGAAGAACATCTGTCTTCTAGGCAACTGTGTGCCACAAAGCTCATTGCTCACCAAGGAGAGGCCCTTAAAGCAAGCAGGTGCCAGCCCATCCCATCCTCACCAGCTCTGTGCTTTATATTCAGTGTACTCCTATAATTTTTTGACTTAAGTGCTGCAATAAAATCTCAACCAAACAAAATCAAATCCATTTGTGCATCCTGTGGCTGAAGGGAAGGACACAAGCCAGGTGTGAATTCAGGGCCCTAACTTGCTTGTGTTTGTATCCTAAATCCAGTGTCTACCATATATAAGGTAATGGGTAAGAATCTGTCCAGCGAATATTCTTTCTTGACCTTTGAAATTTAGTTATTTCCTATTCAGGTTGCTTGGTGCAAATATTGTTTATAAATAAGTACACAATTGCTTAGCAAGCAAATCTTTTACAATTCTGAAAGTATTTTCTATCAAAGGCTTTTAGACTTTACACTGGTAGAATACATGATGATTAAAACATAGAAGTACCAAATTATTTTCTTTTAATGTCTCTTCCAGATTGTTTGAATATATTTTGCTCTATAAGGATGGAGTGATGTTCCAGATAGAGCAAGCCACCAAGCAGTGCTCAAAGATCCCCCTGACACAAGCCTGGGACCCTCTTGACATTCCAGACAACTCCACCTTTGAAGACCAGTACTCAATTGGGGGACCCCAAGAGCAGATCACTGTCCAGGAGTGGTCCAACAGGAAGTCAGCAAGAACCTGTAAGGATCCAGAGAACCTGAATGTTGCACATTTGTGTGCAGGGAGGGGGAAGAGTTAAGTGTCTTAAGGAAGGAAGTTGGTAGGGAAATTATAAGCTGAAATAGTTGAAAGCCCATTTAAATGCCCACACATCTTGCTAATTATATGATGTTGGGATCTTAGCATCAAACTTCTGTTTCCCATGGATGTTTCTACCCCTTTGGCTCTTTGGGACTTCGCCTTGGGTTTTGACTTTTTATGACCACCTTATCGTTTGTAATGTGGTAAGGCATTTTTCCAAGGTACAGATCTCAATCAGGTGCTGCCTTTTCCTTCTCCCACATCACTTCTGAAATTGCAGTGACCAGATCTTCTCCATTATTCTGAGTGTTGAATTCGCCTGGTTTTACACAAAGCTCTTCCCTGTAATTCTGAGATCATTTAAAAAGCACAAGCATTCCTGTCATGGGAAACAATATAGCATTTTCTAAAAAAAAAAAAAAAACCATGAAATCACCATATGGCCCACAATTCCAGTTCTGTATATATCAGTGGTGATGGGTTCCAGCCTATACAGAATTCTGCCAAGTCATCATGGCAGCATAAATTCTTTGTCTCCCAAGTTCCCCTTTCAGAGGGTCCTTGGATTCTCCTACAGCCCTCCTGTGCCCACACTAAAGGCTCTTTTTACTTTTGTTCTTTTTCTCATTTAAGAAAAAAAAAAAAACAAAAAAACCTTACAGATGGCAGGGATACAAACAGATATTTTAACACCTGTGTTCATAGTGGTATTATTTCAACAGCTGAAAGCTTGAAATAACCCAAATGATCATCAGCAGATAAGTGCATAAACAAAATGTGCTCTATACACTCCGTAAAATATTATTCAGCCCTAAAACAGAAGCAAATTTTGGCAGGTGCTGCAACATGAATGAATCTTGAAGACATTATATTAAGAGAAATAAAACAGCCCCAAAGGACACATATTGTCCGACTCCACTTATATGGGGAAACTGGTACACATGGGCAGACAGTGGCATGATGCTCACAGGAACCAGGGAGAGCATAAAATGCGAAATTATTGCTTAGTGGCTGTAATTTTCAGTTTTGCAAAATGAAAACGTTCTCGAGAGAGATGTGGTGATAGTTGTACAAACTCTGAACGTATTTAATGTTTCCAAAACGTATATTTAAACGTGTCAAAATGATACATTTTATGTTGTGTGCATTTTACCACAATAGGAAAAAACCTTACAGGCACATTCCCTGTCACTATTAAAAAATCACCTTTCTATCTTATAGATGAAACCTGGATTGGGGTTTATACAGCCAAGGATTGTTATCCTGTGCAGGAAACCTTCATCCAAAATTTCAGTGTAGTCCTGTCCACACGGTTTTTTGATGTACAACTGGGCATTAAAGATCCCTCTGTGTTCACCCCTCCGAGCACGTGCCAGACGGCCCAACCCGAGCAGATGAGTGAGGACTGCGCCTGGTGAGCAACAGGAAGCTCGGCTGGGAAGAAATTTGAGACTGCGTGGAATGCAAGGATGCTTCACTGCACATGAAGATAATTTAGGGATGCTAAACACTGATAAGGGTTTGTTCCTATGTTTGGCTTTGGCTACTTGACTACATTCATGGAAGAAAACTGGCTGTGTTTTCTGCATGTACACTTAGTGCTGTGGTACACAAAGGGGTGGGGGGCTGGCTCAAGAAGTTTGTCTTGGCAGGGATGAATATTTTATTACTGACATTGTTAAGAATGGATGGCAATAGTACAAAGAATGGCCCCTGCTTTGCTGCACCAGGGGCAGTGTCCCCACTGACCCCCACCCCCATTTGTCCCCTCTGTTCCTTTGGCTGCTAACAAAATGATCCCTGAAAATTCCTCTGTACTTATGAGCTTTATGGTATGACCTGATGGATGCAAATATTTTGGAAGGAAATAAAAGGGTTTAATGCAACCTAGTGATTCCTCAAAAGGGGAAAGGAAAAGGGAGAAAACAGTTGTAAGTGAAAAGCTGGGACATCTTGATGCTTATACCTGGAGAAGCATGAACCATATGTGTGCTTCCTCTGGGCAAGAGTATCACTTACTATGCTGAATTTTCAGTCAGTGGGCAGAGAGTGTTCTAAAATAGCGCTGAAGTGGGTACCAGGAGACTGTCATCTCCCAGCTTTCATCAGGGTTGGAATTCCCTCACACCTTGCACTCTTAACGTCTTCAGGTATTCAATGCACTGGGCTTTCCTTGCCATAGCCTTCCTGGGACTCTTTTCCACAACCTCTGTCTGTCTGACTTATGCTCGTCTTTCCCAAGTAGGCTTGCACATAACCTTCTGTGAGAACTGCTTCTAAGCCTAGGTGAGTTGCATTTGCAGCCTGAGCATGCTTTTCTCATGACACTTATTATGCTCTGGGCCAATTTCCTGCCTCCTGGACCCCATCTTCTGCTATTCTGGCTAAGAGTCCCCTGAGTACGGGTACCATATCCTGTTTTCTTCTATATCCCCAAACAAGTGCCTGGTACACAGTGAGTGCCCTCAACGTTTGCAAAGTGGCAAATGCTTCCCTCTCTGGTCCTCAGTTTCCTCATCAAGTGGGGTTGAATTTGCTGATCACTGGGGAGATTTCCAGCAATGCAATTTATTTTAGATTCTCACGATATTGTGTTTAATCCGGCCAACTATCTGGAACTATCAGGCAAACTGTACTATACCTGTATTATGCTGAAAACAATCTGTATTACTCACAGTTTATCTATATGAATAAACAAATTTAAAAGCATTCTTTGAGCTATTTGCTTTTGTAACAGCTCTAAATGCCCTTGATTGTAAGGGAGTTGAAACAATTCTCTAATGAATCAATAAAGTGCTTCAACATGATCCAAACCAAACTGGTTATCTGGTCCTAGAAGCCTTCTCTGTCAGTTAACTTTCCTGACGTCTACTTTCTAGCTATTTCAGAATCATTCATGACCCACTTTTCCCCTTCCAACTCCACCCCCAATCCGTACCCCGAAGACCATCAACATAATTCTTAAAGCTATTGTTTTGTCCATATCCTCAGCTCCCACCAGGTCTGGGCTTTTGATATCCTGTTGTCTGAAGGATATTGCCACCCTGTATCTTTGCCTCAGCCTTTTCTTCTAGAAACAGTCCCATCTCCTGTGATCATTCACTGGTAATCATAGCCATTAGCGAACACTTTTCTGGTGTCCATGGAAGTTGCTAGACTCACAGAGGAAGGCTAACTGAGCTAAGGCAGGCCTCTGGACTGCATAGACTCAGAGAACTGTCACAGCTATGTTCTGGGTGGCTCATCCTGGAGAGCTTTCTTAGCATGTTGGTCCTACTTCCTACCCCCAGCTGCACAACAGCGCCTGACAACTGTCCTACTTTTTTATTGCTGAGACAAAGTACCCAACACCCATGAGTTAAAGGAGGAAAGATTTAGTTTATAGGTCATAGAAATTTCAGTCCATAATGAGCTGGTTCCAAAGCAAAGCAGTATGGTACAGAGGAAAGGCAGAGAAGAAATAATTCATGGAGTGCAGGAAGGAAACAGTGAAGCAGTGAGCCTGCCTTTCTTCTGTCCCATTGTATTTCATCCAGGCTACAAGCCTATTTGTTGGTGCCACCAACCTCCAGGCTGGGCCTTCCCATTATCCACACCCAGAACTATGCTAAACCAGCCAGTGAACTAATGTAATTAACAGATACCCTTAATCCATCTTCACAAACTCTAGATCCAGCCACTTCAAAAAAGCTCCACCCTGAGAACATGAAGCTTTAGGGGGACATCTCCATACAAGCCATTACACTCTTAAAACTACATTTCCCTTTACCCTAGGGCTCTGTCTTTGCCTATCCCAGTCCAAATCACCATTCAAAACAGAAAGGAAGAAAATTTTGTTCATTTAGGAACACACAGTGTGTGCCCTTTCCTTTTTCAGCTGGCCCCCTCGTAGTTAAGCCATTTCACAGAAATGAACAAAAAGCCCAGAGGATTTTACATGCAGTGGAGAACTCAACAGGGATGTGATGGTGACCTGATTCTCTACTGCGTAAAAATAAAGGGAGCGCTATTGGCATGGCGGGCCAATTTTATTTTGATCAGACCTGTGAGTTCCCTACACTGGTACTGCTCTCCCTTTGAGAAGTAATGGCTAGCTTACCTCTGGTGGCAGGAGGGTTTCCTTAGCTGCGACTCTGGCAATTAAACATGGTAGGGACTGGTACCTTTCAGTGACAAAGAGCATCACAAGGCATCACACACGTGCAGACATTGGCATTACTGAAGATGGACGTGAACTATAGTTGGTACCACTTTGTGGATGCCCTGCTTCCTACATTTCTAACCCTTAAGCTATATGGGAAATACTGACTTCCCTTCTCCCAGCAGCTTTGCTACTTTCAAATCGTCAGGACCTGTGCAAGTACTGGGGTGTCCCTTCACCTGCCTTCAACTTTGCCTGACTGAAGAAAACCCAGGCCTGGGGCACAACCATTCAGTCATCTCTCTTTCTCCTTGGGCTACATGCAGCCAGGGAGGCCTACTTGACCCTTCTGCCCCCATGTTTTCTTATCACGGTGACTTTCTAAGCAGAAGCTTTGCTCCTTGAAATTTCCTAGAAGTGGAACACATTTAAAAGTTGTTAAATATTTACAGGCCAAAATGTTTAGACCTCTGGGGAATTTTCCATAAAAGACTTACAGTTCCCAACACAGCTAAATTTTGCATTACGTGAAAATTTAGTATACACTTCTTTCTGGGTTTCCTCTACAGATTCCATCCTCAATGCCTTTTTAAAATTTTAAAATTTTAAATCACTTTACCTATGTATTGCCCATATCACTCAAGGCTGTCTTCAGCTTTTCTAGATTTGTAGATCTGGCCTGCTACCATCTGCAGAAAGTATCTCAGATTCAGGAATTGTTTTATCTTTCTTGTTGAGTCAAAATAACTGGATGATATAAATTAGATGAGAGAATGAGATCCCTCGGCCAAAGACTCAAGAATAATTTATGAATACCTCATAAAGAGACAAAATTAACTTTATTTATGAATAGTCTGGCATGAGTATTCATCTCTTTTGAGGACTCTTCCAGGATAGTAACAAAAGAAATATGTTCTGTTTTTGTTTTATAGCAGAAATATTATCTCCACTGAATGTGTAGAGAAAAATACTGGGCCTAAAATTTATTGTATATTTTATGTAGGGAGAATGTTGCTTGCTTTTATGATATTCCATGTTAAAATACATATTGTTTCTATTAGTGCAAAAAATAATATTTTCAATCACTAGTTCGTATTTAAAGTTGGAAAATGTAATGCTTCTCCAGCAATTAAGGAGTGGACTATAATTACCCTATAATTTAGGAATAATCTTTTGGTGAAAATAATCTCCACAGCATTTAAGTAATGTGAGTATATATACGCCTATGCTACGGTGTGATTGCAGGGTATCATTCTGAATGGCACACTGTCAATTTATTTTAACATATAGTTTTTCAAACCATAGCTCAGTGTACTTTTCTGCCAACAGGATAATGATTGATGGCCAAATAGGTACCCTTCTTACTAAAACATGACTACTTTCATTTCAAATTGTAGCAAGCCCCTAGTTTTGATAATGAAATCTATCAAAAAGCAAATAATGAAGCAATAGATTATCTGTTATTGTATGAAATGATTTTTTTCAAAGCCAACGTGTTCCTAACCATAGTTCATGCATTAGTTTGCATTTTATCACTGCAATGAAATGCTGGAGGTAGGCTACCTATAGAGAGAAGAGGTTTATTTTGACTCATGTTTCTGGAGGTCCAAGGTCACAGAGCTGCATCTGGTAGTGTCCTTTGCTGGCAATATCCCATGGTGACGCCAGGCCTCAAAGAAGATGCAAGGAACATGTGTGTACACGCGCATGCATATGTGTGTTTGGTCTCTGTTTCTCCTCTTATAAAACCACCAAGGTTCAACTGTTAGGCTCAACCTTGATGACCTTATCCAATTCTAATCACCTCCCGAAGGCCTCTCCTTTAAACACCACAATCAGATTAAATTCCTACTCTGTTAATACCTCACAGTGGGGATTAAGTTTCAACACTGAAGCTTCAGGACACTTCAAACTACATACAGTCCAGAGTAGTGGTTTAATTTCTGACTCAGCCTGGAGCAAGTTGGCTATTGGGGAAGCAGTAATACTAGCTTCCCAACAAAAAGTCACGGCCAGAGTACCATAAAGTTCCCAGCTTACTAAATACACAGACCTGTTAGATTTACAGTGTAATTCTGGAACTAAATACGTGGGCAGTTACAGATACATCATACAATATCATAGAATCATATTCTATAATCTTTTGGTTTCATTTCACTTTCAGTGCCAGAAATGAAGTTTCTTGTCAGATCAGGAGGTCACTGTCTCACTTTGTTAAATAAGTACAGTATTATCAAGGCTTAACCAACTAAATTCCATTTAAAACTGAGGAATTCTTTCCTAGGAAAAGTAAAAAAGTGTGAAAACTAAATTAAAACTTTTCAATGGGAAAAAGATAATAATTATCTCTAAAATGCTCTGTGATCACATTAGTGGGTGGCGTGTATGATCAGCAGGTGCAGTTTAGTCTTATTTTAAATATAGCATTTGTTTTTTTGCAAAATTTCTGATTCTAAGATATTACATGAACTTTTTTCAGTTGCTCCGGCTTCTATGAGGGATAATCAAGTGAAGACAGACTGATCTGCTTTTCATGATTTTAAGAAATCTCAATGACTTTGTGGTACACATTCACAGCATGGGAATAAGCAAGCAAGCAAAGGTACATGTTTTGTGAAAATTTTTATACGTTAACTGCCCCTTCATAGAACACCATTCACAATCTCCTCCCAGTTTAGCCACCACACATGTGTTCTTATTGCTATAACTCACACTGCATAAAGAACAACCACTAGTACCTCAAAGGTTTTTGGATCCCCAAACTTCTGATATCTTGGCACAAGGATTTTGCTTAAATATTTATGGATCCTACCTCAATAATATCCACAAATATGGCTCATACCACTCCTAAAAAATTCTAGCTCAAACTACCTATATCCCAAACAGCAAGGAGAGGAGGAAGAGGAAAATGGAAAGAGGAGGAGAAATCATTTATCACCATAAATTCATGGTCCAAAGAAGTTGATGCATATTGAAGAATAAATATGGGAGTAGCCAACGAATACTGGAAAAGCACCTCAAAGATTTTTCAATTTAGATACCACCACAGTAAGTTACCTTAACATAGAGTGTTTCCAAACTGAATGTTCTTCCATAAACCATGACCCACAGGCCTCTTTTATTATAAATTCAGAACTGTTCCCATATCTGTGGATATGTTTACCTTATAGTAGATGTTACTATTTAATGAAGAAGTAAAATAACCTTCAAGGGAATCCCTCTGACCCTAGGAATAGTGTCCCTGCTTTATCCAGATTATTCAAATAGTTCCAATAATACAAGAATGACAGAATCACTTATGGCATATTTAGAAGATGCTCCTGGAATGGAAGGAAGCAAAAGCTTTCCCTAACTTCTTGCCATAAACAATCATTCAGTATATCCAATTCACTTAAGAACAAGTTTATTAAGACATCTTCCATTTACATGAATTCACATAGTTCTGGAAGAATGGTCAACACAAGTTTACTCAAGATAGATGAGATAAACTTAAATTCCCTAACTTGGAAAAGGATTAAGCTCTGTGTTTAACAGTTGGTATGGTGTGAATTTGTAATATTTCCCAACACTGCATGGGTTAAATGTTTGATCTTTAGTTTAGAAAAGTTCAGATGTAAGGCTTTGGGAAGGTGATTGGATCATAAGGGCTGTAACTTCATTAGTGTG